AAAAAAGTCATAAACAAGAAATCTTTGGGTTCTCTAAAAACTTCAAATTAACCTAACAAAAACTCAACGTCTCAAAAAAAAGACCAAACATTTTTTCTAGTGTACTGCACCCGTTGCAATTGCTGCTTGCCTTCGCCTTCTTCATTATTTGTCTTCTGTTTTCCTTTATATTTTTTTTATTATTATTTTTGTTTCGCTGTTTTTGCCTATGTGTTTTTCCAGGAATTCCGTCACTGATACTGCCATATGCAAAACAAAAAAAAAAAAACAAGAACAACAAACTAAAACTACAACAAAAAATACAATAAAAAAAAACTACACAAAATAAGTTCGTAAAAAATGATTGCTGCATTTTTCACAACGTCATTTTGTGGAAAATAAATGCAAAAAGAATGAATAAAAAAAAGAATTATTGTTTGTTGTACAATAATTTATGCAAATATTGCAGACGCGTCCAAGAAAAGAAACTTAATAATTATGAAGAGGGGTGCCGGCCAAAAAGCAGAAGGGTTTCTTCAGTGGGGTGAGGGGTTACTGACCAGAGAGTCTGCTGTCTGTCATTCAATCATTCCGTCCGTCGGCCAGTCAGCCAGTCAGCCAGTTAGTTTGTCATTCTTTGTTGGCTTTTTTTCAGAAAATTGAGCATGTAAAAATGGGTTTTTTTCCTTTTGGAAATTTAACTATAAACCTTTTACTTATTTATTTTTAAAAATATAAATAATATTTTCTAATATAAGTTAAACCTCCTCCTCCTCCTGACTTGCTTTAATTTCTTAAACAATTACTTTCTTGTTTATGAGTTTGATTTTATATGACAGCTTTCAAAGTAGAGGCTTAACTCCCACTTTTCATTGCGGTTCTTGTTGTTTTTGTTGTTTGGGTAAAACTTTGTTTACCTTTCTTCGACTTCCTTAACTTGTTTGGCATATTTTATATTTGCCTCGTTATGGTATTTCCTCGCCCCTTGGCATTCCAACTATATCTACTACTTCTCCTTCTCCTTCATATATAAACCCTCTCGAAATGGAGAGATGCCGTGACATTTGTCCGTTTATCCCTCAGTTTCGCCCCGTCAGTCGATTGCCGTCTAAAGTTTCATAAATTCAACGAATTCTGTCGCCCAGACTGAAACCAAACCACAGCACAAATAGATCTACAGCAAAATTCCACGAGTTTCTAATAAAATATCATCACTTTGGTTGAGAAATTTTTGAATTAGCGGTTGATAAATAGGAAAAAATAGGATTTTTGTATCATTTATTAAGTTTACTTTCGTGATTAAAGTTAAAGAGCGAATGTTTAAGATGTAAAAAAATGTTAAAGAGATTGTTTTAAATTGTAGACTTTATTCATTTTATGAAGATGTATGATAGGAATTTAAAAAGTTAGAGATATATATTTTTTATATTTTATACAATGGGTTTTACTTTTTCACAGTGCTATACTATCATTGGGCTATTGTTACTTTCATGATGTTGTATTATATTATAGAGTTATACTATCATAGGTTTATATTATCATATTAGTTGTACTTTTGGTTGTACTTTTATGAGATTATCTATCATAGGGTTATACTGTCATGATCTAAAATTCTGATAGGTTTGTTCTTGTACTCATGAGGCTATACTATATTGGTCTTATACTTTCACATCTTAATAGTATCTACTTTGCTCTTTACTTACTATAAACATCTTTTCCGTCTAGCTACCTATTTCCTTTTTATAATGTACTTATTCATATTTATTTTGTAAACCCCCTTCAACTTTTTTTTTCGATTATTATTGCATATATTTATTGTCAACATTTTTGCCCGTGCTATATTCTACATAAATACATATGTAATCAATTTTTTTTTTCTGTCACGCATGGCGACAATTGCATACAAGTGGATGGAATTTGGTCGGTGTCCTTTCGGCATGTCCTTGTCCGTGTTTAGTTGTCCTTATCGATGTGCGATGTGCAAGAGGGACGGAAGATGGATGTGGATGTGGATGTGGACAGAATAGACAGACAGACAGACGAGACAGATAAAATAAATGGAAAATGCGCACAAAGAAAACGAAATTAAAAACGCAAGACGCCAAACCGAGGGACGACTACGAGATATATATATAAATATACCAACAACAACAACAACAACAAGAGTTGAGTTTTATATAGCAGACTTTGGAACCCCTTTTACACCTTCCTCCCCTCCTGCAGTTTATATACCGCCTTGTGCCATTCCCATTCAAAATACCTCATTCTCCTTCATTGCCTTCGCCATTTTCCCCTGCCTCTTTCCTTTGGCATTTCCCCCGCTGACATTTCCCTCCTTTTTTTCCTTTTGCTTTTCCTTTTGCAGCAAAAACAACAACAACAACAACACACGACGCGTTTCACCTGCAACACGGAATATGCAACTTGCCACTGTCGAGGGTTTTTCAGTTGTTGTGTTGCGTTGCGCTGTGCTCTGTTTTATTTTCATTTTTATTTTTTTGTGTGTCTTCTTCACTCCTGAAGTCCTGGGCCTCTAGGATTAACCCCACTGACGGTACAGGGGTTTACAATTTTTTTTTGTTAAATATTACAAGGATTTTTAGAACTTTAAACTTTAAAGAAAAATGTACTCATTTTTACTGATGTTTTTCTTAATACTCAAATTGTATATCTTTTTATTTCCATTTTAAATGGATTTTCTAAAATCTCATTTATTAAGAGAGAAGCCTTTTCCTCTTAGCTTTTTGTTACTGCAACATTTTTCATATTGCCACCTTTTTTTTTATAATTCTTAATAATTTATTAAGTCTGTAGTTTAAACTTCTTTGATGAATAACAAACCATTTAAAAAAAAAATTGCAACCTGCAATTAACTTGGCAAATCATGGCACTTTCCTTCTACACAAGGGTTAATAAATATGTGTCGATTGTATGGCCAGGGGTGTGGGGTTGTTGGTTCTGCAAAGGTGGGGACGGGTGACTAGGTGCAAAATAAGGGCGGCGGCGTGGTGGGGTTGTATCTTCAACTGTCTGCAGTTGCCTCAACTGTTGATGCAACACACACACACACACACACTAACACATCAAACAGCTGTGCAGACATTTTAAGCAGCCTGTCGTCATTGTTTATGGGAATTGCATATGTATGTGCCACACATAAATATATATATATATATATATATATTTATATATGTAGATGTAGAACCCCTAGACATTTTCTAGACTCACGCTTCTAGTACGAGTATCTATCAACAATGCGTCTCGCCGTCTGACTTCAGTCTGACTCCCCGTCTGGATGTCTGGCATTGGTTTAACTGTCTGTCTGTCTTTCTGTCTCTATGTCTGTCTTTCTGTCTGTCTGTCTGCCTGACTTCTGTCTATATCTAGAAACCCGTCCGGATTTCCCCAGTTTAAGGCCTTCTTTCTGTCGGTTTTCTCTAGCCTCCAAGTAAGGCTTATCAGTGCGTGGCCTGCCCCATCCGATTTCCCGGCAATTGAACTGATCGTTTTTGGTAGAACCATTTAAATTCTCACAGGTTTCCTTTCAAATGAAAATCATGTCTTAATTTCCTTAAACTTAACTATATATTTGTCTTTAATATAATTTTTAAACCCCACTAGAGACTTACCCCCTTTAATCAGGAAGCTATAGCTAATTTCCCTGCCAGTTTCCTGAGCATGTGCTTGAACTTGAACTTTGAACCTACTTATGCTTGGTAAAACCAGCAGCAACAACAATAAAAACACCAAGGAGAAGTTAAAAGTCGGAGGAAAAATGGAAACTTTTTCAATGCCACAACCACAGACACAACTGACAGATGCTGCTGCTCGGCATTTTCTTACTCTTCAGCAGCCATCAGGCTTTTCTTTCCTTTTCCTTTTCCCCTTTCCGTTCCGTTCCGTTTATATATATATAAGTTGCGGCTGATTAAAATATGCAAAAGTGCAGACTGAGGAAAGATGGAGGAGAAGTGATGACGTCAAACAGCCGAAAAGTTGTTGGGAAATTCCAAAAAAAAAAAAAACAACTTTATTCAAGGCTGGAGATTCAGAGGCATTTGGCCAAAAATACTTCCATGAGTGTTTTCATTTAAATAAATTATTTATAACATATTGATTTAAGATATTTATAATAATAATAGTGACATACGAAAACAAGATCCTTACTAAGCTTAATAATTATTTACTACTTCTTCTTAAATAATCTTGGATTTCCTTTAAATTCCCTTAAAATTCCTTTTTCTCCAGCTCCCCACTGCTGAAAGACATAATTCATAGGTTGACTTTTGGCGTTCACTGTGAGCTACGTCATAATTAAGCGCGCCTGCCACATGTTGCAGAGGAAAAGTTTTCTCTTTATGTTTGTGTGTGTGTCTCTGTGTATGTGTTAATTTCACCAAAACATTTTCCATGAGAATATACTTGTACGTGTGTATGTGTGTGTGTGTGTGGCACTTGAGGCAACAACGCAGACAGTTAACAGACTTTCCGAGACAACAACAACAACAACAACAACAACAACAACAACTATAATAGTCGACTATGTGGCATTGCCATTCAACTTTTAACCCCCTAAAAGAGGAGCCCCCCTCTTAACCTTCCAAAACATTCCTCTTCTTTGCTGAACAAGAATAACATTCATTTTGGGTAATTAAAGTAGTGAAAGTTTCAACCAACACACACTCAAACACACATTTACACTTGTGACATTTGGCATAGCCTACATTTAAGCTAAATTTGAAGACAAATTTGATGCGTAATTAAATTAATTCGAGGAGGGCTCAAGGGGCATTCAACTTTGTGTTGAAAGTAAATTTGAACTTCTTCAGCTGACTCTGACAAACATGATTAAATATTCTTGTAAGCTTTTGTTTTTTGGTAAAAAGGAAATTATAGACAAATTTCTATGCGAAATTTTATATTTTTCGAAAATTAAGAAAGTTAATAATAGTTATAAAGTTATAATATTTCATTATTTAAATCATTCAACTATTAATAAATTATCCTTTATTCCTTTCCAGCATATTCTTCAAAATTCCAAATTTCAACGAAGAAGAAAGCGTGTAAAACTCAAAGAGAAACCAGCAAAAAGAAACCAAAAATCTAATGGCAAACAAAATTCATACAATACGCAATCTCGGCTAATCGAAAGGCAACTCTACCAAGATCAACTCTAACCAACAAGACGAACACGCTACAACTCTGGCAGCGCTCTCTGGCTAATAATATACAAAAGAAAAAGAAAACAAGGAATCAATTTGAATATTCTCTCTATCCCTCTCTAATCACACACGCACACGCATCTGTCTCTCTCTCTCACACACACACACACAAACACCCACAAATTCAACCAACTGGACCAATTAAATGTTTATGGATACAACAACAACAACAACATCAACAACAACATCAACAACCACCACACAAAACAATTAGATATCACAGAATATTTAACCAAAATCGAAGTAAAACAATTTGAGTTTCTTGGGGCAACAAAACTAAAAAAAAAAATAAGGTAAAAACTTTCGAACTTGGAAATATTTTCAAATTTTCGGTAAAGCCCCATCAAAAAGGTATAAATAACAGTGTTGTAAAACAGCCTCCAAATTACTATATTTCGGTGTGCGAAAATTACAAAAATATTTACAAAAAGGCGCAGAAGATAGTCTCAGATCAGTCAACAAGAACAACAACCGGCAAACAACTGCAGCGACAACCAATAACAACAACAACAACAACAAGTACAGCAAATACAACAACATCCTGCAACAAACAACAATCCAAAATCGACGAAGACGACGGCCCCCGACAAAAATCAATTGGAAAATTGAAACTTATGGATTGCTGGACGGGTAACGCCCGACTGGCGAGTGTTTTAGTTTAAGGTAAGTTTAAATATCTTTTAAAAAATGTTTTTTAAAAATCAAAAAAAAATATATAAATGCATTCTGTGTCACGATTTGCAGACATTTATTTAAATGTTAAAAATAATGCCCAGTTAGTTTTTCAATTTGACAAAACAAAAAAAACTTCCAAATTCCCAACAAAAAAGTGTAGTTTTCATGCAATTAACCACACAGGGTGTCTTAACCCCTTAATGCCCCCTGCAATTGCCTCCTCTCTTCTTGAAAAAGCATCAAACAAAGGCAAGCAAAAAACCACAATCGGGAAAAAAGAGACTGCAAAAAGTATTTGCGAATTTTTTTTTTATGTTTTATTTTTTTGAAGGCCAAGGTCGCCGCGCATATGGGATCATAATGAGAAGAAGAAGAGGAGGAGGAGGAGAGAAGCCCAGCAGAAAAACGGGGAAAAAAGCACACCAAAAAACATTTTAATGCATGACAAAAGTTTTATTTTATTTCATTTCATTTTTCTTTTTATTTTATTATTATTTTTTGGCTTTATTTGCTTCGTTTTTTACTCTTTTTTTTCTGTGAGTTGATCGAAGCGGAAGTGAGCGACGTCGTCTGCGCTTTTTTGACAATGGGAAGTGAATGCTAAAAGATCGGACAAAAAAAAAAAAAAAATAAAACTCTGAAGTTTGGGTGTGTTTGTGTGTGTTTGCTGTCAAACAATTGTGTGGCCAAACATGGCGCTATGGCTTTGCCTTTGGCTTTGGCTTGGCTTGGCTCAAGTGAAGGTTTCTCATTTTAAATTGAACATTTTTTGTTGTTTGTTTGTTTGCTCAATTGCGAAATTGTTTTAATTAGCCAACCATCTAGGTGTGTGTGTCCATGCGTTAATTGCAGTTTCCAAAATTAGCAAAAACACATAGAAACAAACGTCAGTCGTCATGTTGTTCATGGCTGTCAAAGCCTCTTTTTCCCCCCTCTTTGATTGACAGCAGCTGGCCTGTTGTGAATGGACGCGAGTGTATGGGTTTAATTTTGGGCATCTGTATGTGTGGCGACAACCCTGCCTTTTCAGCACAGCACATCTAATGGTCGGTCCATTATTATATAGTATATGATGTATAATATGCTATACATATATATTGGCATGTGTTATAGTCGAAAGGGTTAAGCATTTTCTTTGTTATGGCCTCTAATTTCAAAGTTGGCTTCCTCACAAATTCCATTTTTTTTCTGTAGTTCAGGGTTGCTTTAGATATTTTAAGTACAACCCTTGGTTTTCGATAAATAATAGGTTTATTTAATGAGGGAAGTAAGGTTTTTTCCCTATTTTTCAGAGAGTTCTTAGACTTTTTTTGAAACAATAATGTATATAAATTGAACAGTCTTATCTTAGATGAAAGAAGTAGAATGTTAAACCCATTTTTCCTAGTTTAAACGGGTCACCTCTCCTTAGACAAAAACAAACCTAACTAACTTGAAAGTTGCAGGTAATCTTTGAGCTACTTAAAAGGTCTGTCATGGTGGAAAAAGAAGTTTTCTTCTTTTGGATTTTCTTAGTTCCCAGGGTTACGAATTGAGGGAAATGCCATTTCCCATTAATAAAACGTTAGCACCCGTTCGGTGGGCCAAGTGCAAGTTGTGTTGGCCAGATGAGGCAGACAGAAGACGACGACAAAAAAATGAAGGCCTAATTGATGAAACGGCAAAACAAAAGTTATTTCTATTGATTGAGCGGCGGCGGCGACGGCGACGGCGAAAGAGTTTTGCCAAAGTGAAAATGCAGCTGACGGAGAAACGGTCGCTTACATAATTATGTGCAATTTATGCGCAACGTGACAAATCAATTTTCCTTTTTTTGCCTCTCCGTTTTTCGTTTTTCTCGGCACTTGGCGCTTTTCTCAAAGCGTTGACAGCCAAACAGATCTCTCTCTAGAGTTTTCGCACGCTCAATTGTTGGCCAGAACCGTTAACATGACTTGGCCTAAACCAAAAAAAAAAAATAAACAAATACAAATGGCTTAAAAGTAAATTAACTAAGATAGAAGTTTCGGTAAAACAAAGTTATAATCTTATTATTTTCAAATAAATCAGTGTTCTATTTTAGTAACATTTTTTGATCTTGCTTTTCGAGCCACTTCCGCATTGTGCTCTATTTTTTATTACGCATACGCCGCGTGTTTGCGTGTTAAATTTTTATTTTGTTTTCTTACTGTTCAAATATCAAAACGCACGCGGCTGCATTCATGAGTTATTTTTTATGTAATGCACACTATATATCGCTTATATACTATATGCTTGTTTTTTTTTATCGAAAATGCGTGCTCAGCTAAGCATTGAAAGCAAAATAAGAGGAAACGAACGAGAAAAAAAAATAAGCAGCTGAGAAAAATAAAATAAACAGAAATTGCTCACGACGCAACAACGTGCAATTTGTAATTGTTATTATTGTTGTTGTTGCTGTTGCTGTTGCTGTTACTGCTGCCACGCCCAGTCCGCCCACACGCCTTTGTGGCGCCAGTCGCAGGTTTGATTTTTTTTCTTATTACGGAAAAAACTGAACTCGAAACACACCAACTCACACGTCAGTATGAAAAGATTACAGCACTCGAAGCTAAAGAAAAAAGATACGCACTTTGGATATGCCGTTAATTATTATTAATGCAACCCGATCTGCCCAGGTGTTTTGTTCATATATATGATATATATATATATGTGGGTTTTATGTATTTCGATAATGGAGCTATACTATAGACATGTTCTTCCTACTCGAACTTATAGGCAAATTGCAGCTAATGGGCATGTAAATCGTTTTAAATAAAATATTGACAGGATTGTTAACCTTATAGACCTTAGTTGGATTGGGCTGGGTAACAGGAAACTCTTTTTGTGTAGTTTGATTTGAAATAGGACAATGAATAATCAATTAACTGAAAGAGAAGGCAATCAACTTGCGATTGGATATCTTCTTGATTAGGTTTTGAAATTACCCGCAAATGGCAGATATTTTTCAATAAATTTTAAAGCAAACGGTAAATATTCAAAAAAATTTTGCTCTTACAAATCAAAATTCGACAGAAACTTTAAGAAAGGGGCACACTAACTATGGGAAAAACAGCCAGAAAGACTATTCAGAGAAAGGGTAACACTAATTAGAAGAAAAAGGAAGTTAGAACTATATAAAATTTCACGCAAAATGGGAAGTGATTAATGCGACGACCTTAAGCAGACAACAAAGGAACTTTTAAGAGAAATGCATTGTGTAAGAAAGAGAAGGCTAGGGCTAGACTGCACGAGAGAGAAAGACGCAGTGAGCGAGTGCGCATGCAATAGGAGCATGGTCACCCTAAAATGCATTTCAATGCGTGTGAGTGTGTGTGTGTTTGTGTGGTGGGGGGCTGGCGTGTGTGTTATCGCTGTGGCATTGCAACAACTACAAACTATAACGCAATTATATGCAATGCCCCAACCTCAAACCTCAAAACCACCCACCCACTCACCCACCGCCCACTCATGCCTAGCGCCATCTCGCTCGCCCTCTCACACTTTGGTCCGTAAAATCGCATTTTGCGTGCATCAATTATTGCGCATTTCTCAGTTGCGTTGTTCAATTTTTTGTTGTTGTTGTTTTTCTTTGGCATTTTTGTTTGTTTTTTTTTTGCCCCCTGTACTTGCTGTTTTTTATCTGACAGCCGCCTTCTAATTTACACAACAACAACAATTACTATTGTACAATTATAATGCATAACATTGGCTGAACAAGTAAGGCAAAAAACAACAAAAAAAAACTAAATTTAAAAAGAGAAAAAAAAAAACAGAAGGAAACACCAACAGGTCTTCTATTATTTTTTAGGGCTGCATAAAGTAGATTTTGCAGGATAGTAAATATTAGGTGGGATAAATAAATTATAAAATACTTTATTTTTGGATAAAGAGAAAGAGCTTGCTACTTCCATGAAATAATATTTATTTAAAATTTCTTATAATTTATTTTTACTTCAAATATTATAACAAATTTCTGTGAATAAGCATTAAAAAGCTTTAATTAATTTTACTTAAATAATTCCTAAGTTATTTTAATTATTTTATTTTTAGTATATTTCATAGTTTTGTATATATATATATATATATTCTTGTACAATCAAAAAGTTATTTGTTCAAAGCAAATAAAAAATTGCTATGTGAAATAGATAAAACTTCGCGGAAACCCCTCGAGTGTTAGCCGGAAAACCTTGAAATCCAGGGCTGCCGTTGTAGTGATTTCCCACTGATTTACAACTCCAGCTTGGCTTTCACATTTTCCCTTCCCTACCCCCCGCCGCCCGGAACACATTGCGTATGCGTGTTTTTTCTCTGTTTTTTTTTCTTCTTATTTATTTAGTTTTTTTTTTGTTTTTTTTTTGTGAAGAGCTGAACTGAGAAAGGCGTTGTGTTTGTGAAGTTGCTGTGTGCTGCACTTTGCTGCGTGACACATTGTGTGACTGACTTTTCAACTAATAGCAGGCAGGAACAACCAACATGCAAGCTGGTGGAAGGGGCAAGCGGGCGTCGTCTGACCCATTGGCAATTAACATTTCGGACGGAGCTGAAATTTTTCAGTTTTAGTTTGGCCAAAAAAAAAAAAAATTGTATATAAAATACTATAAAAAAAAAAAGTAAAAAAAAAAAAATAGCCATATCTGATCGTGGTCGGGGCTCCGCTTGCGTGTTCTCCTTCTGTGTATGTGTAATTGTGGATTAATTATAGCCAAGGACCCCACAAGATACAAATAAAGATACAAAGTGTATCTCTATCGCTCTCCATGTGTGTCTGTGCAATTTCCGTCCACAGAACAAGGTTAATTCAGTTAGCCATTGTTGCTGCTATAGTTTTTTGTATATTTTTTTTTGTTTTTTTTTTAATTGCTCCCAGAGAGTTACATAATCATTGCAGTTGATGAGCACACACACACACACAGCTGTATTTAATTTTTATTATTATTTATATTTGTTTTCTGTGTTTTTTATGACTATTTAGAAACACTTTCGACCGT